TGGCACCTGTCACAACTGTGAAAAAAGGGTCACTTTGCCAGGGTGTGTCGGCAAGGCAAACAGTCCAAGGGAGGTACGCAGTGGGTTGGTGGTGACCATACACAAGCTGAAGATGATGAGGGAGAGGACCTCCTGCGTGTGGGGGGTACTGCAAGTCAACCGTATGAAGTTCAGATCGAAATCAGGAAAGAAGGTCCGAATGGAAGTCGACACCGGTGCCAGCGTCTCGCTCATCTCTCAATCAACGCAGCAGTCTCTGTTTCCAACGGCCATATTGCAGTACTCGAACATCAAGCTACAATCTTATACCCGACACTCCATTCCAGTTATTGGTATGATGAAAGTACAAGTCAAGTATGAGGGGTATGAGGGCTCCCAAGGTTTTGCATGTAGTAGATGGGTGTGGCCCAGCTCTCTTGGGTAGGAGTACTGGATACGGCTAAATTGGCAGGAAGTTCGCGCTGTGAGGGGCAACGTGTCCCATATCAAGATCTGGTACGCAAATACGCGGAGGTGTTCTCTGATGAGTGGGGCACAATGCGTAACTATCAAGCTCACCTTGACCTTCAGGAAGGCGTACGGCCACTGTTCCGCCCAGTTCCCTTCGCACTAAGAGATACTGTTGGACGGGAGCTATACAAAATGGAGGAAGCCGGCGTTTTAAAGAAGGTAAACTACAGTGAGTGGGCAGCCCCTATAGTGCCGGTTCCCACGAGAGATGGGACCCTCCGTATATGCGGGGATTACAAGGTGACAATCTTACGAATCGACCAATACCCGCTACCAAACCCAGCAGAGTTGATAGTCCGCCTCACTGGAGGCCGGAAGTTCACCAAGCTTGACCTTACAGCGGCATACACACAAATGCTTCTAGACGAAGAATCAACAAAACTCGTCACAGTAAACACGCACAAAGGCCTCTACCAATTTACTAGACTGCCATTCGGTGTCGCGTCAGCCCCCGCTCTGTTCCAACGCACGATGGACAGCATTCTGCGAGGAATTCCACACGAAGTGTGCTACCTGGATGACATCTTAGTTACCGGTGAGTCTGCTGCCGAACATGCTGCAAACCTCGAGGAAGTCCTCAAGCGTCTACGGGACCATGGACTCTGACTTGGTGAACGGAAGTGCTCCTTTTACCAGGACTCCGTACAGTGCCTTGGCCACCACATTGATTGCTTTGGAATCCACACCTTGCCGAGTAAGGTAGCTGCAGTCAGAAAAGTATGATCTGTCTCCCGGTATGGTTTGAATTGAGGGGGGAGGAGTGTGGTGTCATGGATATTGACTGTTGTGATTGACTACTAATACCATGTATGTATGTATGTTATGTATGCATCTGTACGCATGCGTAGTGTGTATGTATTCTGCCACGTGATTTCTGATCAGTTGTTGGGCAACGAAGACTCTCTCTGAGGTCGTTACAATTATCCTTCCTCAGTTTGCTCCACGTCTGATCTTGAAATTGTATCTGTCAAAATAGGTCAAAGCAGTGATCATGTTATTTGCTGTATTTATGTACCTCCTGACTCTCCTCTTTCTCATGTGCCTCATCTAGTTCTTTTCTTTCAGATCTTGTCTCATCCTTCAGTAAGTAAATTTACTTTTGTAGATGACTTTTATCTCCCTGACATAGATTGGTTTGCACTTATGGGTACCTCTAATTCATCTACTTGTTTATATGATTTTGTTTTATATAATTTTACAGAGCATAATTTTTAAACGTACTCATGAAAAGGGCAATGTACTAGATCTTGTTCTAACATCTCCATGTGTTTCTGTCACAAATTTAACTATTCATTCCCTATCTAGTTTTTCAGATCACTTCACCATTACTTTTGATCTGTTCACAGTGAATAATATGTCTATGGGCTATCGAAATCGTTTAATTCATCTTAAACTTTTACCTTTGATGATGTAACTAGAAATTGCTGACATAATCTTTTTCATCAAGTCTGTAAGGTACCCATCGGACCACTTTAACATCTTTGATTTTGTGCAGTTCAGTGCTCATCATACTCGATCAAGCTCCAATTTTAAGCTTAAGCACACAGTATCCACGAACTACAACGAAAAAATATTTTACTTCAATCGTATATATACCTCGACTATGGTCCCTCGTCTGGATATTAGTCTTCCTCTCTCTTCTATCAAATTTCACAATTACTTGTTGCTTGCGTTATGTTACATCTTTACTGTTACTTGTCCTACCAATCCTCTCTCATGCCATTAACATAATTAATATTCTACCAACCTTCTTCGAGTTGCACGGTGTGGTTTGATCTAGCTAAACTATTCAGTTTATTATTCTTCCCCATAGGATGGGGACGACTCCTCTCTTCATTGCCAGTCAAAATGGACACAGTGAAGTGGTGAATATCCTACTGAGGAATGGAGCTGGTGTGGATAGAGCTAGGAACGTAAGTCAATCATCAGTCACTGCATGACAATCTTCAGTCGTTTACTGTACCAGTGCAGTCAGTCACATCTAACTTTACTGTTAGTTGTCCTACCCATCCTCTCTCATCCCATAAACATAATTATTATTCTACCAACCTTATTCGACTTGCACGGTGTGGTTTGATCTAGCAAAACTACTCAGTTTTATTGTTCTTCCTCTCTCAGCCATTTACATATATATTTAATATTCTATCAACCTTCTTCAAGTTGCACTAAACTATTCAGTTTATTGTTCTTCCCCATAGGATGGGACGACTCCTCTCTTCATTGCCAGTCAAAATGGACACAGTGAAGTGGTGAATATCCTACTGAGGAATGGAGCTGGTGTGGATAGAGCTATGAACGTAAGTCAATCATCAGTCACTGCATGACAATCTTCAGTCGTTTACTGTACCAGTGCAGTCAGTCACATCTAACTTTACTGTTAGTTGTCCTACCCATCCTCTCTCATTTTGATTTTATGGGACATAATATTCTACCACCCTTCTTCAGTCTCAAACACAGACCACTGAGTATGGTTGCCGACAAGATTATAGAAGTACACCAATGGTTGAAGCATTAGTTTTTGCAGAGTGTGCCTTCTCCTGGGGAGTGGTTAAGGTTCCCTTGAAAACACATCTCATATTACTCTCTCATTCCTAGTGATATTGATATCTACTGTTTAGGGACTTCTAGAATCATACTGCTTCGATGTAAGGAAAGGTGTAGCTAAGTGTCTCACGTACTGGAGCAATACATTCACCTCTGCCTGACATGGCATAGTCTAAATGACTAGACATAATTAGCCTTGTTCCCAGGTTCTCCATCTCCGCACACAGTTTTAATGTATGACTGGAGGAGGTTCAAAGGTCAAATTGTGCATGAAGAGAAGAGCCTGGTAACAAGACTAAGACTAAATGGTGGCAGTGACACAGAACATACTATCTCCTGCTTCTGAAATGGCCTATAATTATAGCAAACTGCTAATTTACCATCATGGCTTTCTGTTTTTCTCACAGACTGGGTCGACACCTCTATATATGGCATGTCAAGAAGGACAAATTGATGTGGTGAATATCCTGCTAGCAAATGGAGCAGATGTGAACCTAACTGGATTCCAGGTAATCAGTGATGGCAACTGATCATCACTATTGCTGGTCACTAACTAAAGTCATCTGTCATCATTCAGGGAAGGAGACCCATTGATGCTGCCAGACTCCAAGGACACTCTGATATTGTCCGTCTACTGGAGAAGAGAGGACATTAGTCACTTTACTTATACATGTAGCTAGCTACTATATAGGTAAGAGGAATTTTTGGCTGATCTCAGTGTCCTGCTTGAATTTCATGCACGACAAAAATTCATCGAAGAATAATGAATATATATGATTGATTTCATGATAGAGAGGCAATCTCGGAAGTGCGGAAAAGTTTACCTGCCACTGCACAGCCACGCTCATGTATCAATCAATCAATCGTTGCACGGACCCACTAGGGCATGGCAGGTACATACATACACAAGTCAGACAATACATGTAGAGAGCGAAGTCTAGCTGTACAATACAGAACTAGCACTGTCCCCAATCAATATGTTGTAGAATTCACTGTGCACCATCATTGGTGGTAGTTGAAGTCACATAAGACAGAATATGGACGGACACTTTATTACAGGCACGATTGACCAACACCCACTCCCACCACCAACTCCACGGCAAATCATGAGCCACAGAATACCAGCTGTCGGCAATCAGCCCCAAAGAGGCTACCCTTCTCACCATGGGAGTAGAACAAGTACGACCCATGGATTGCGACCGCTGGATATTTGACTTGCCTCCCAGGTGGACAGATCTAGCAGCTGAAAAAAACGGGAGCACACCACCGGGCACGAGGGCAGGGAAGGAGATGAGGTTGAGCCTCAGTCGATGTCGTTTGTACAGACCCACAGAAATGTAACCCTCCCTGCGCATGCGCGCAGGGTCGTATAATTATACGCTTCGCGGAGCCACGCCTTCTGCGAGGCGTAATTGACTGCTCGAGCACTTGCATGCCAAAAAGTCGTTGTCATTTCACCAAACTGATTATAATCAACGGTACGTAGCTGGAACTGAGTCACTGTGTTTTAAAACACTCATAATATGGTACACCACCGTCCCTGGTTGTCTTCTCCAGCTCTAGCCTGACGCGGTGCATCAACGCGCTCTATTGGTGGCGACTGCGTTGCAGATTTATTACTGATAACTTGCCAGAGATCACCGAGCCAATTGTCTTGGCCTGGTAGGCGCGGTTTCTTGGGATGTCCGACTGGCTTTACCGGTATTTTGTAACCGATTTCCTTTGGCACGCCGGTTCCGATCAAAGTGGCATGAATTCGCTGCTTCCAATCACGCAGCCTATCGTTGAACCTTTCTTCGAAATCTGGCTTCACTTTCAGGCCGTTTCCAGCACGTTTGCGCGCGTCATAGCGAAAATAGAGCGCCTCCACCAATGTGTGCCGAAAGTTGCAGTCAGCGTCTTTATTGCACCAAGATCGTTCGGCGCTATCTCTGCAGCCGTCAATCCGTAGGAACGAGTTGCTGAGAGGTCCATGCAATAGATGACAATACTGACATTGCTGCACTTTTTCTTGAGCTCGTTGATATACTCATTTCCCGAGCCGTCTTCAAGACCAGGAGCCTCCCACACCACAAACTCTACGCCGGTTTTCTCCGAAGTCCACCGGTGACCCGTCACTTTCTTCGACCCGTCGCGTAGTAATTGGTCGCCAGTGTTAGCCACTGATTTTCCTGCGAGAGCATTTACAAGAGTAGACTTTCCGACTCCTGACGTCCCCGTTAGGAGGATCTCAATCCGTTTCTTGCTGCTCATTGAATCCGCGCCTTATAGCTTTCCTAGCTAGCTACAGTGTTATTGTTATTTAGCTCCAGCAGATGTCGGTTATCTTTCACCTCAACCTACGTATTATGGTATAGCTCTACGCTAGTGAACGATTTTATACTCTCCACTATATATCCGGTATAAAAAATTTAGCGCGCCAAATACTTGCATGTCAATACACCACATAGCTATAACAATTATTCGTAGACATAGCTACAGACAAATTTTAACTGTTATGAGCTACTTTTTCGCTTGTTTCTTAGACTTTTTGTAGAGCCAGAGTTTACTGAGAAGAACCGCACCAGCTCCGACGGCTCCTCCAACGACGCCGCCGACTACACTCCCTATGATGCCTCCCAATGCCCCAACCGCAGCACCAGCTTGAGCACCAACGGCGCCGCCTTTCAGCACGTCGCAGATCCACGTCGTGTGATCTATCACGAGGGGCTGTTCGTGGCCTTCCTTCTGGAAATCCTCCTCCTTCACTTCGCTTTCTTTCTTCAATCGATGTAGATTCGCCTTTGTTATCAGCGGCTGGGAGCGTTCCTTCGCGCGGTTCAAAAACATGATCCAGAGTGCGCTGAGCCAGTACATTCGGCCCGGCAGATGGGGCTTCTTGATGTGACCGGCTGGCTCTACCGGTATGCCGTTAACAATACCCTTTCTTACGCCTTCTTTTAGCAGCGTGGCATGGATCCTGTCTCTCCAATCCTTTATCCTCTCGTTGAACCTCTTCTCGAGGTCAGGCTTCACTTTCAGCACCGCTTCCAGCGCGTTTGCACGAGTCAAGACGAAGATGGAATTCTCCCACCATTCGGGGCCGAAAGTCGCGGTCAGTTTCTGAATCGCGCGGAGATCATTCGTTTGTTTCTCGTCTTCACCCGTGAATTGGGCACGAGCGGCCGAAACGTCGATGCAGTAAATGATGACATCGACGTTACTGCACTTTTTTTTCAGCTCAGCGAGATACTCTTCCTCCTTTCCCGAGCCGTCCTGGAGACCAGGCGAGTCCCACACTACAATATCCACGTCTCCCCCCACCTTCACCTCGTAGCCCGTCACGTTTTTCGTTTCTGTACACAGTTTGTTTCCGACGTCGGCCACACGCTTTCCTACGAGAGCGTTGACGAGTGTCGACTTCCCCGTTCCCGTTCTTCCCGTCACCAGAATCTCGATCCGCTCCTTACTACTGCTTTTTCGAACCCATTCCATTATTTCATCTTTATCCTCTGCCTCGAGCTCCAGGCCGTCGATGGCGGCTAATAGCTTGCTAACATCTGTAGGCATTTTTGAGCGTTTGAGTCGGTTCTGCAGCGAATAGTAAGGCGTCGGTAGCTAAGTGGGGGAAAATAATTATCGTTACGTTCTTATAGTGAAGTCGCAGTTATAGCGTGCGAATAACGTACGCGCTGGCGTGCAATTATAATAGTCGAAGTTTCTTCACAGCTTGAGTTGTCGATTTCCCTGAGCCTTTCTATCTGAAATTTGCGACACTGATGGCTGTAAGTGCGGACTCGGACATCTGCGATACATTTGCGCAGCTCCCTGACGAACGTATCAGCCAAGAGCTGACGGAATGGTTCCAGAACAGCAACGAAGTCAAAATCTTCATCACCGGGAAGACTGGGGTCGGCAAGTCCACTCTGGTCAACGGCCTCGTGGGGAAACAAATGGCCAAAGAAGGAGACACTCTAGATCCAGAAACGTCCGTCGTAAAGGGTTACAAAACTAAACACCGTTCCGTTTACGTGACGGTGTGGGATTCGCCCGGCTTGCAAGACGGCACCAACAACGAGAGCGAGTATTTGGGTGATATGAAGAAGCAGTGTTCCGATATGGATCTGAGCATCTACTGTGTCAGCTTGAAGGAAACTCGCTTTTTCAAGGGTTGTGCCGATATTATCGCAATGAAGAAACTCACAGAGATATTCGGGAAAAAAATGTGGGAGAATGCAATGTTTGTGCTCACATTTGCAAACCTCGCCGAAGATTTGGACTCGAACATACTCGAGGCTGACGATGACGACGAGAAAGCAAGGCTGTTTCAAGA